TCTGCAGCAAGCGCTTCAGGTCCTCCTCAGTTTCAGCAAGCAGGGTTGTGTCATCTGCATAACACAGGTTGTTGATGACTCTTTCACCAATCCTGATGCCACATTCCTCCTCGTATAGCCCAGTGTCTCAGATGATCTGTTCTGCATACAGATTGAAAAGGTATGGAGGGAGACAGAATACATTCCTGGTGGATGAGACCCCTCTTGATTTTGAACCATGTCTCTTTTGCTCTTTGCTTTGGTCCAAGTCCAGGTTTAGCATAAGCACAATCAAATGTTCTGGGATTCCCATTCTTCTCAGAGTCAGCCATAGCTTGTGTTCCACACAGTCAAAAGCCTCTGCATAGTCAATGAAGATAGACATTCCTCCGGTACTCTCTGTTTCTGCCAAGGTCCATCTAGCATATTAGCTATAATATCCTTAGTACCATGACCTCTTCTAAATCCAGCCAGCACGTCTGGCAGTTATCTGTTGACATATTTATTACTCCAATAGTTTTTGGATAATTTTCAGCAGAATCTTGTTTGTATGTGATATCAATTATATTGTTTGATAATTTCCACACTCTGTTGGGTCACCTTTCTTTGGAATGGGGACAAATACTGATCTTTTCCAGTCAGTTGGCCACCTGGCTGTCCTCCAGATTTCTTGGCACAATTTAGTGAGCATATCCAGGGCAGCATCTGTTTGTGGAAATATGTCAATTGGTATGCCATCAACTCATGGAACCTTGCTTTTGCCAATTCTTTCAGAGCATCTTGAACTTCCTCCTTCATCACCACAGGCTCTTGCTCATGTTATTTCATCAAAATTCTTCTCTGTCAGCCAATTCCTTCTGACACAGTGACTCTGTGTATTCCTTCCTTATTCTTTTAATGCTTCTTCGATCATTTAACATTCTACCCAAAGTATCCTTAAGTATTGCCACTTGTGGCTTGAATTTGTTTTTCAATTCCTTCAGCTTAAGAAATGCTCAGCAAGTTCGGCCCTTTTGATTTTCTGACTCCAGCTCTCTGCACATTTCATTACAGTATCTTGCTTTGTTGTCCTGACCTGCCTTTTTAAAAAAATTTTCTGTTCAGCTCTTTGATTCTTGGTTTCTTCCTTTAGCTTTGGCTTCTCGGCGCTCTAATGTAATACTCAAGAGTCTCATCTGACATCCATTCATCTTGGTCTTTTCTTCTTTTTCAGCCTTTGTAATGATCTTTTGCATTTTTTAAAAATTATTTTTGTGTGAGTGTACCGTCAAATCAGATCTGACCGGTACAGGAGATTGTCCCTCCTTCCTCGGCAGACCATCTGGTGGATTCGAACCGTGCACCTCTGGGGTTGTAGTTGCAGCTCCTTACCAGTAGGTCACCAGAGCTCCCCAGATCTTTTGCATTCTTCATGGATGATTTTCTTGATATCCTCCCAGAGCTCACTTGGTCTACACTCTTTGGTGCTCAAGGCATCAAATCTGTTCCTGAGATGGTTTTGAAATTCACGTGGGACAGACTTAAGGTCAAATTTTGGTTCCCTTGGACTTAATTTTCCTTAACTTCAGCTTGAACTTGCTTATGAGTGGTCTGTCCCATAATCAGCACCCGGCCTGGTTTTCACTGCTGATATTTTCTCCAGCGAGTCTTTCCACAAATGTAATTGATTTGATTCCTATGCATAACATCAGGTGAGATCCATATGTATAGCCTGCGTTTATGTTTCTTGTAAAAGGTATTTGCACTTTCAGTTTTCTCACCAATTACCAGAGACTGGGCAATGGGCACTCCATTTCCAGGTCTTCTGAATGACAAAATAAGGCCTATCGTCATACGTACGCATATTTTATTCATTGGCATTTTTACAAAAATTGTATTTTCCTGAAGAATGAGGATGAAAGGCAACAATCTTCTCAATCTTGAAGGACTGGTTTAGGGAGAGGGAGGACACCAACACCCATCAGAACTACTGCAACTCTTTATTATGGCACTGAACTATAGGGCACTGTGCGTGCACTGGCATCAAGGAGAAAAGGGAAGTTTTCTCCATAGAAATAACTCCAGAGTAAGACTTACATCCTTGCATATCATCCTTTTAGAGGTGTCTGGGAGAAGCCCAGTCCAGGTGGCAGGAGTATGTATAGTCAGACAGCCTGAAGCTACACTGGGAGGTGGGCCGCACAAAGTCTGCTGCCAGAGAGGAGACTCTCTCAAAGAGAGGCGCTGCATTCTCACAGCCTCTGCCTCATGTGCTAAGCCAACAGGGCTTCTCAGCAGGGCAAAGTTCAGTCCTCCAGGGTCCAGGGTGTCACCATCCAGGAGATGCAGAATTCTGCAGAGTAGTCAGACCCTGTACTTGCAGACCAGGGAGCCTAGGCTCCCAAAGTCATACATTCCTCCAGTTTCCACGAAGACTGTCCCCAACCCTAATCAGACACTAAGAGCAGGGCTTCTACTGTTCTCATCTGTTCTGAGGACAGAAGGGACGAGTGTGTCCAGGCTGGTGGCAAAGACTACATTTCCGAGGTTTCTTTGCAGTAGACCCAGTATCAGAGGAACTGCTCTGGGGCCTTTTGCTTTTGGCTTCTGGTCCCTGGCCTTCCTCGCTGCCTCGTGGCCAGAGTGAGGCACCAAAGGTCCCTGCCAAGGAGAAAGTCAAGATTAGAACTGACACACTGACTTAATAACCCCATTAAACCCTCCAACTTACCACTGTCCAGTTAAAATAAATTCCTAGTTGAGGCTGTAAATCACCACCCAGGAAAAGAATGCTCATCTTTCTCTTACAGAGGATCTCGTGAATTTGGCCAGGCAGGCAGGCTCCACTCCATACTGACTACATCACCAGCTTACTCATCCCTTGTTGCTGGTGTTAGGTGTCATAAAGTCGCCAGCAACAGAGCTTTTCACAAAAGCTCTGAAGCCCTGTCCTACCCAGTCTGTCTTCAACACACCTATCCTCACTATCCCAGCCACTAAGTCAATCTATTCCTGTCCTGTGTTGTCCCTCAACCCTTCCTAGCATGATGTCATTATCCAAGGTCTGGTCCCTCCTGGCTATGTGCCCAAAGTATGTCAGCAAGAGCTTCAAAATCCTTGCTTATCATTAAATCCTTTATTAATAAACAGAATACTTGGGATCAGGATCCACAAACAGGACTAGGAAACATGGAAGCTCTCTTCTTCAGAGTAGGCAGCTACATCAGGTTCTCTCACCTGTGCAGGCCCCTCTGGCTGAGGACAAGTCTTCTATCAGCCCCTCTGGGCACACTGTCTTGGCAACAGCTTCCAGGCAACCACAGTTCCCTCACACAGATCTCTCTCCCTTAAGAACAAAATCTGACTCCTTGCTGACCCTCCAGTGGGTTTTCAGAGGCTGTAAATTACACAGGATAAGACTACCCATCTTTACCCCAAGGAGAAGCTGGTGGATTTGAATCGCTTGCCATTGAGTTGGCAGTGCAGCTCCTTACCTCTAGGCTACCAGAGCTCCCTTCACACTGATTTAGAGGGCTGAGGCTGGCATACGCTCTACTGGGGACTTTCTCCCTCTACAATGTGTGTACATCTCTTTCTGTGGAGAAATGAGATGTATGTGCACCACTTCATACCAGGACTTGTCTTAAAGGCTACTCAGCTTTAGAGGATGTCCTTCCTCTTACTGTCCTATCAGAAAGTGAACAGGGCCACTTTCCACCTGCACATCTGAAAAAGTGCAAGCAAGTCAGTGACATGCCCCAGGCCATGGGATAAGGCATCAAAAACAGACAGGAAGACCTACTTATAGGCAGGAGGCCAAGAAAGCTGGAGGCAAGGCACCCCTTCTCTCCAAGCAGGGAACAGGTCCCCATGCTTGAAGTGGGCCTCTCAACACTGCAAACGTAGTTCTTGAAGACCTTTGCACCACTCCTGACTTAACTTGTCCTGCACCTGTTTGGGCCTTATTTATCAAGAAGAGACAATTGCAAGATAGAGGAAAGATAAGCTCCTTCTCCAGAGTGTTATTACTGACAGTGACTGTCTGCTTAAGATGCTATGCCCTCCTTATGGAAAGAGACCCAGCTCCCTGCAGAGTCTACATCCCCTATCCCAGCCTGGCCCTCTCCCTGCCATCTGTCTCTGAATTAGAGGCTACATGAGAAGTGAAGTCTCCTCCCAGAGATGAGGCCAAGAGGGTGAGCCTGTGCCCTTCTCACCTGTAGCTGTGTTCTCATCTGCCCACTGGAAAAAGCCACATTGTTGTTCCCTGGACTTGGAGCAGGTGTGGAACTGGCGGCCCTTGTTGGGCCCATCCTTCTGCACAGTGCGTGTGACAGCTGGCTGACGGCACAAGCAGGTGGTGTCACCATTGCCGAGCACAAGCTTGCTACGCCTGCTGAGGAAGCCCCCCAGGGAGCTTCCAGGGGGTCTCACTGTAGAGGGAGGTGGCCCTGCTGTGCTCAGTGGGAAGCTGTCAGCCCACAGGAAGAAACTGCAGCTGCCACTGCTGCACTTGTAGAACTGGCGGCCCTGGTTAGGGCCCTCCTTCCGCACGGTGAGCAGCAGGGCCTCCTTGCCACAGTTACAAGTCACACAGTTGCTTCCAACTATGTCAGTGCATGGTGGGAGGGTCTGGGCCAGTGCCCTTCGAGGTTCACACTGTCTGTGGCCAGGAGTCTGGAGATGGCTGTGCTGGTTACTGTCCACTCTGCTCAGGAGGTGGCTGGATTGCAGGCCTGAGGGCTGACTGGCTGGTTGGAGAGTTTGAGGGAGCCCTCGAGAAAATCTCAGGTTCAATACCTCAATCAAGGTGTCATCACACCCACCAATGCAGCCAACAAGCTCCAGTGGCATAGTTGGGGGAACGCTGCCGTGCTTGAACTTCAACTTCAACCTAGTGAGACCAGAAGGAAAAAACCATTAACACTCGGGTATTTTTCCTCAGTCTACAGTGGGAATTGTTGCCCTCGGCCTCCCTTCTTCATTCCTGTAGCTCTCTGGCTCCAGGAAGTCCTCCAGTTACCCCACGAGTACAGCCTAGCAAGAGTGTAAAGGAGATCTGAGAACAACTAGACAAATCCAGACAGCAGTTCTGAAAGTGTGCTCCAGGGCCCCCTTTCTTGGTGAGATCACCATTGTAAAAAATCTCACTGCTGTCCAGTCAGAACTGACCCACAGCTGACCCTTCAGTGGGTTTCAGAGACTGTAAATTGCCTAGGAGGAGACGGCCCATCATTTTCTGTCAGAGGCGTGGCTTGGGTGTTAGCAGGGCAATCTTCCATGGGTGAGGCCACCAGAGTGGCCTACTTTCATGGGGCTGCTAAGAGCTATGTTGGAACATCAAGCTTCTGCAGCCCTGTGGTGAAGTTTTTCACATGTAAAAACTACAATCTGAATTCTGAAGTCCATTAATCAAGACATGAGACAGGCAAATGTCCAATCTTCTTTTGGCTTTGGAAAACAGACATTTAATTATGAAAATATGCTATTTTACCCCAAACACATTGTTCTCTTATTCTCACCTTGAATTTTTGTGGTACAGGTTTTAAAAATAATATTGACATGTTGTTATTAACTAAGGTACATAGTTTATGAAGGAGAGCCCAAGATGAGGGTTAGGGTTTTACAGTCAGTCAATCAATCAACACTATTTAATGTATAATGTAATTTCTATTTTTAAAAAATGTAGTAAGCATAGTTGAAAATATATACTTTAATATATATGATAAATACTGACAAACACAACTCCCAGCCATAGTCCCTCAAGCTTCATGTTGCTATTTAAGAATGCAAAAGGCTCTGATGATCACGGTCTACACTAGGGGTTGGTGTTTCTGGAGACAGTGTGAAAGTCACAATGGTCGACTGAAGAAGCAGGTAAATTGATCTTCTGGGTTCTGTCACCAGGAGGAATCCTCCTGCACACACAACCTAGGTTCCCCTGGCCTGGGCAGCAAGGATACTGTACACACTAAGACTCAATGCCTCTGAGCATCAGCTCCCCGGGCACCTCCCTCTCCATGCTGTGATCATTCACCTGAGGGTGTGTCAGCTCCCTAGTCACCTCCTCTGTACTGTAATTGGAACAGCCAATTCTATACCATATCTGGACTCACCTGTAAACAGGCTGTGGCTGGCAGACTGGACACACACTCTCATCTCGACTGGCTTCCAGGACAAAGTCAGGAAACCACATGGCTGACCGACACTCTGGGAAACCTACACAGCTGAGAAAGAACCTGGGGGTGAAGAAATGAAGGCTCAGTGCAGACAGAAGGTCTCAAGTTCATCATCTCACAGAGAATACCTGCACTGTTGTGGATAGTAAGTGATCCAGGAAAACTCATTCACTGCTGTTGAGTCAGGACCAATTGAGAGCTGACCCTCCTTTGAGAAATCAAACAGAAAGAAGCTGGCCATCGTTTTCCCTTGGAGCAGCTGGTGGATTTGAAATGGCAGAGGTGTAGCCTCCAAGTTAGTATCAACTGTATTAAGCTCTTAGATCACGTTCTAGACATTGGGAAACCACTGTCCAGTGGGCCTGGCTTATTACAACTTTTATGGACTGTGGACAACACCAGTGCTAACACTTGCTTCCAGGCGGGGCACAGGCTTCTGTGAGCTATGGTGGTCTGGCCTTCTCCAAGACCAGGCCCCGGGGAACCAGGCTCGCTCTTAAGAATTTTCATTTCATCTCTACTTCAGTGGCCAGCGGCACGGAAGCAGTATCAAGAGAAAGGAAGTGAAGATGGGGATAAAATTCTGCACTTACTGCTCATTACAGCTCTTCTGGCATTTAGCAAGCCGTCTAAGGCCCCTGAAACAGCCTTGAAGGGTGTTAGCGTTCCAACGAGGCTAGAAGCAAAGCACTGTGCACCATGTGACCATGAGCAGCAAGGGCTCTTTGAGACTCTTCTTCCTGGTAATTTCCCCCTAGATGACAGGTACTAACAGGTCACCTCAGACAACCTGTGTCTTGGGATAAACTTGACACTGAAGCCCAAATGAGGTTAGTATTTGCTGAATGTTCTGACTTCTAATCTTTTCATGTACTTCTCACCCATACCACAATTTTATGAGGTTTTAACTATTACCCTTATTTTATAGAAGAACAAACTTGGGCTCAGAGTACTTATGCAATTACTTAGAGTCACAAAGCTTACATAGAGCAGAAATGCATTTGAATCTGACCCCTGTAGTTTCAAAGGCAAGCTGCTCCTTTTGCTACCCATTGGATGAAGGAGATGGGGTGGGGGTGGGAGCAGAAACTTTACCATCAGATTTAGTCTGCTTTTAAATACCTTTCTTCTGTAAAGAGCAATGCAGGAATGGTGATAGCAGGCCTGCCTTTAACAAGTGATGAAAGCAGGTCTGAGGCCTCTCAGAGATCAACACAGCAGGGTGGAGTACTGACCTGCCATTCTTTCTGGCCTTGAGGACCATGTCCTTGTTGCATTGAGGACATTTTCTGATGGGCTCTGGTATGGCAGGATAGATCACTTCTTGCTGAGATAAGCTGGCTCCTTCCCCAAAATACTGGGACAAGGCTTCATCTAACCTGCAGAGAAAGACAAAGATGCACACCAGCCAGTTCTCATAGCAAAGGCATTTGCAACATCCACACATGGCCACCCATATGCATTTGACCACAGGACCCAACTGGCCAGTGCAGCCACAGAGGAAAGCGGCAGAAAGAGGGTTATGTGGGTCAATGGCCTATCCCCAGCAGATAATGAAGTGGCATCATCACTGTCTTATTATAAACAAACGGAACTGTAACATAGACAGTATTTTACACTCCCATCAACAGTGATTAAGGGTTCCAGTTTCTCCACAATCTCACCAGCATCTGATGTTTGCTATTCTGTTAAATTTTGCAATTCCATTTGACCCAGCAATTCCACTACTGGGAATTTATCCTAAAGAAACCATAACTTCCACCCAAGCAGATATATGCACACCCATGTTTACTGCAGCTTTATTCACAATAGCAAAGAGCTGGAGGCAGCCGAAGTGCCCATCAACAAATGCCAAGAGAAGCTCTGGGATATTCACACAATGGAATATTATGCAGCATTGAAAAACAAGGAACTCATGAAATATTATGCAAAATGGATGACCCTGGAGGACATTAAACTGAGTGAAATAGCTCAGTTACAAAAGGACAAATATTGTATAGGGCCACTGTTGTAAAATGGGACTGACATTGGGGTTGAGGGAAGACAGAAAAGGAGGGGAGGAATGATGTATATTGCACTGAAACAGATGAGAGAGAGATCTATTTAAAAGGGATATATGAATGGGTATTCTTGTCATTACAGTAGCCCAGAGTGAAGGCTGAATGTGGAGTTAACTTGGGGGGGAGTGATTATGTAACAATGAAACAATTTTTCTTTTTCTTTTCAAAAAGAGGAGTGATTTGGGGGGAGGTGGTGGGCAGGGAGAAAAGTGCAACAATGAATGACTGGAAATCCCAAGTCTCTGTAAACTTTCATTAAAATAAAAAATAAATACACACTATTTGTGCATACAGTCAAAAACCATCTGTGTGGTTAGTGCTAAACTAGTTCATGCATTTCTTTTCAAAGTTGGCACATGACAGAAAACATGCTGTTTCTATCAAGAGAGGCCTTTATTGCCTACTAAAAGGGCACTCTGAGTTTTCCCGGAAACAGCAGTAGCGTGGTCCACTCATGCAAGGCTGGCAGCAAGAGAGTATTTCTAAAGTAAACAACCCAGGGTGATGGGGCCAGGTCTTGCCAATTATTGGGACTATACAGACTAAGGTCTGTAGAAAGGAAAAAGATCAAGTCAGGTGAAAGGAGGAGGTGCTGGCATGTGACACAACACTGAGGAGGATAGATCTTCTGGTCATATCTTGCTACCACGAGCACAGGACACTTCTCTTGCAGAACCAGTGCTTCCACCCTACCACTTACGGTGAGTCCAACACTTCCACCACTGAGCGTCCTGGCACTCACTTTTTAGCTTTTGCCACAGCCTCAATGAAAACTTGCTTGTATTTCTGAACTTGCTGCCTCAGAACCACAAATCTGTCCTTTCTGCCCTCACAGATGAGCTTCAGATCAGCTTCCAACTCAGCTCGAAGGTGTGGCTTAGACATGTCGTAGCCCATGGAATCGTAGCCTGTAGAAACAGCAGTCTGTGAGAACCAGCAGGCTGCTGACCCCTCCGCAGCCACACCCTCCCCCTTACCTTCCACAAGCCCCATTCCCAGATGCCCAGGAAGAAAGCGCTTGTCAGTTGTGAGTCCCACGTACATCCGCGCTTTGATCGTCTCGATGTGCTCCGCATGGGTGGCGTCAGTACCTGGAAGCATTTCCCAGTTATTCTGAGATAATCTGGATATTGCGGGACGGCACCTCATCTCCTCTCCAGGTAAGACCCAGTGTACAAGCCCACTCCAGACAATCACAACGGCAGCTGTGCTTCTCCTTGATGTTCACACAGTCATCGCATTCAAACGCTTACTACATCTGACAGGCTTACTGCAATGTTAATGTTCTTCCTTCACTGAGTGTCATAGAGCCAAGGGCTGGTACCCACATTGACTCAAATGCATTATCACAACATTCCCAGGCTTCCCCCTCAAGTCATTTTCTGTGTAGTGGTCAAAGAGATACCATGTCACAGTCATTTAGATGGCTAACATCAAACAGATTACAACAAAACTGGCCCAAGACATTAAGAAAAGGAAGAACAAATCAGTTAGTTTCTTACAAAGTTAAACAGAGAGCTGACACAGAACTCAGTGATTCTACTCCCAAATACCTAACAAAAGAATGGAAAATAGTCAATGAAAATTTACATAATAATGCTCAACGCAGTATTACTAAAAAATCCAAAAAGGAGTAACCACCCAAGTATTTACCAATGAATGAAGAAGTAACTAAAATGTTGCCTGTCGACATAATGGGCTTTCTTCAGTCACCTACATGCATGGATCAACTATGAAAACACTATGCTAAGTGAGAAGTCAGTCACAAAAGGCCAACTGTATGATTCCATTTATAGGAAATATCCAGAATTCACAAGTTCAGACAGAAAACAGATGCTGGGATGCCAGGGGCTGGTGGCGCTGGGAGAAAAAGGGTGCAGTGCGTAGAGGGTGCAGGGTTTCTCTGTGAAGTTAGGAATATGTTCTGAAATTTCCTATGACGATGGCTGCACAAGTATGTGACTACAGAGAGAACCAGTGAACTATACATTTTAAGTGCCTAAATTATAAGGTATGTGAATTATATCCCAATAAAACTATTAATTATTTTTTAAAAGCATAGTTCTGCCTGTTTCCTTCACTTAGAAATCTTATAGGATCCCCTGAGAACCCCAGATTAACAACCACAGTCCACACCCACCACACACGGCCCTTCAACTCTGACTGAAATCACTGGATGTGGAGTTCTGTAAGGCCAGGCTTTCACAGCTCACAAACTCTGTGACTACCCCGCCAAGCTGGATTGCAACTATAAAAGGGGATAAGAATATAATACTGTATCAAGAATTGGGAAGATTACGTGAGACACAGAGGTAGCAGTTCCAAAATTCCAAGTTACCGACCAATGCCATGCTTTTCCATTAGAGCAATGAGGTCAGCTTCAGTGAGCAACTGGGGTGGGTTTGTCTCCCCATCCACCAACTCCACAGTGCTGGGCTGGAAGTGCGCACCTCTCTCATACAAAGGGATGGTCTGTAGAGATCAGCAGAGAAGACAGTTGGCATCTCATTAATATAAGTCCTGGCTCTGTCAGATGGCACCAATGTCCTCCTCTTCCCTGAGGATGACAGGGCCAGACACTCAGACAAAGCATGTTCTGTGTGAACCTATGATCTGTCACCTTGTTGCTCCAGTAGTCATATGGATATACATCCAGATAATTCCGGGCCAGAACCATGAGGCCATGAGCTACAAAGTGCTCCTGAGCGATGTCAATTTCCACAATGGTCTCTTGTCCCTGGGCATCCTCTGAGCAGCAAGCAAGGAAATGGCGAACAATGAGCTCATATAGTCGATGCTCATCTCCCTGTGAAGAAAACAGTGGAACTCCTTTTAGAGTATTAATGGTAAAAATAAATTCACAAAATTACTTAAGATCCTAATTTGATGACAGAAAGAGAATAGCTGCCTTTGAGCTGTGGTGCTGGAGAAGAATATAGTATATACCATGGACTGCCAGGAGAACAAACAGGTTCGCCCTAGAGAAGGTGAAACCAGGCTGCTCCTTGGAGGCAAGGATTCTGAGGTTTCATCTGATATACTCTGGGCATGTTGCAAGGAGGAACCAGTCCTTGGAGATGGACATCATGCTTGGAAGGGTGAAGGGACAGCACAAGAGAGGAAGACCCTTGATAAAATGGATTCAGTGACTGGGGTAATGAGGGTATGTGTGTCAGAGACAATAAGGATGACACATGGGATAGAGCAGGTTTCAGGGCTGTTGTATGTAGAGCTGCTATGAGTCGCAAGTGACTTGATGGCACATAACAACAAGCTTACTATAGGACTATTGAATACTTTCATGCATTAAGAAAAGTGGTTCTTGTAAGGAGGGGACTACAAGTATCTCTACCCCCAGCAGAAACCTATCTCCTAAGCTTTACAATAAGCCTGCAACTGTAAACATCTGCTCTCATAAAGCCCACTCCTCAGCTGAGGAAATGAGATCACTTGAAACCTAGTGAAGTGTGAAGATTCTACAGTGAATGAGTCTAACAGGAGTGTGGATTCAAGTTTCTAGAGGGAGATGGAAGTGAATGCACATTTGAAGTATGGATAGTACTCTTTTCACAAAGGTCATCCAGTTCTGGATAGGCATGGTAGCAGGTCCAAACATGGTGGCACGTCGTGGCATGGCGGTGGGGCAGGCTGTGGAAGTAGCTGTGTGGTATGGTTGTGGGGCATGGCTGAGGGGGAGGCTGTGGTGGTAGCAGCAGGTGTGGTGATGGACATGGGTGAGGGTGTGATGAGTGTGGGCCAGTGAGGGGCCAATGAGGCCTCAGTGTGTGTAGCCTGACATGGAGGGTTTTAGTGAAAACCAGGCAGAATATTGTGAAAGTGCTTTTTTCTTTTTTAAGAATTACTTTAAAATCATTTGTTTCCTGAAACATGAGGACAGAGTAAATAAATGCAAATCCTTTACTGACACCCTCAGCACATCACTACTGGGCAGTGGCAACAGTAGGAGCGTATTTAGAAACAAACCTGCAAGTTGTTGGTGTATTTTGTCGGGTGAATGGGAGGATGGGCTTGGTCAGACTTATTTCCATTGCGGGGGTTAGGGCCGCCTCGCTCCAGGATGCTCTGGGCAAAGGGGCCCCAGTGTGGATCCGGGATCTGCTGCTCAACTAGTGTGACCAGGTTCAGATCTTTGGGGAAGATGTTTGTTTCGGTTCGGGGGTAGCTGATATACCTACAAAGGCAAATGGGAAGGGGGGAAAAGGCCAAGTCCTTTGGTTAGTTTAGCTAGCCCACAAGCCCTGGTGACTATTGCAAGCCCCCATCTGACACTGCCATTTGGACTTCCCCCGAGATACCCAAAACTGTGGCATTGGAAAGGTGGCAGGCAGCAGGTTCTGCGGAGAGTGGGGAGGACTGACAGCAGAAGCATCCAGCAATGGAAAAGTCCTCTTGGCCCTGACAGTGTATGCTTTAATTAAGGCAAAAAGACAATGCTTTCTAATACCAGTGGGTGTCCAGTGTTGGAGCCTTGAAAACTCTGTGGAGCTGCTCTGTTCTGACACACAAGGTCACCAGACCAAAAAAAAGGACTTGATAGCAACTAAAAGTAGCTACTTTAAAACAGTAAACATTCACTAATTACAAAAATATCTCATCAATAGAAGAAACTATTAATAAATTAAACTTCACTCCTTTTCATTCATATTTAGTCTTTGACAGCACTACTCAATTACACAAGCCTGGCTGCATGTGCACATGGCTGGAGTGCTCACCCCCTAACGAAGGCTACTCTGTCACAGAAGAACACCTACAGGTGCCACCTGTCCCCTGCCAGGCTCCTGAGAAGTGCTGAGTGGTTTAAAGTTTATTCCTTTTAAAGACTTTTCTTTTAGTAATAAGTAGTTTTGAAGTATCTTTTCCATATCAGGAAAGGCAATGCCTCAATTATCCCTCCCAATTCAGGGATAGAGGAAAAATACCTAGAGCATTTAGACTTCTCTTATAAGCTCTATTTTGAAACTGTTTCATGCTGTAAAGATGCACAAACTCCCATTTGCCAGTCTGGAGTATTTGCTCACCCCTGAGTGTAGAGCTTTTCGGCAATCCTCATAGTCTCTTTTGCATTTATCTTCAACTTGCGTGAAGCCAGCTTCTCGAGGTCCTGTTGAATGAGTTCAGCAGGCGGACAGGTCAGGACGAATGATAGTCAGAGAATGGAGGTGCATGCACACACTCTCTCTTCCAGAACACGTTCCTCTCCTATCACTTCAGCTGATGCTGTCACACGGCAGTGGGTGTGAAGTGCTGCCACCATCAGCAGGAAGTCACAGTAGTAGTGTCATCTTGACAGTCATGCTCTCTGCCTTCTGGACCTGTTCTTCATGCATTTCTGGCTCTTGGCCTCACATGACTCATATGTTTAGAGAACAGGATCCTTCACACTTGAACATTGTTTTAAATTACAAATACAAAAGTGCCAAGTAACTAAAGAGGCAGAGGATGGGGTCCTGGAACAATTCTCCACAGAGTTTATTTATTTGGGGACCACAAGTAAGTCATCTTATTTTTCTGGACCTGAGTTTCTATGAGGAATCTGTAGAATTAAATGAGTATTATCTCTCAACTTTACTAATCTTAACAATATAGTTGATTTCCGATTCCAACTCAAAATCTGTTAATATTCAGGGAAAGAACGCACTGAAATCTAGTAGGAACCCCAGGGGAATTTCTGCCCCACCCACCATAATTTTATAGGCAAGTATAGGGAAAGTAAGGGTTCCTAAACCTGACCATGCATGGAGGCAGCACATGAAAAGAAACTGTGAGTCTCAGGCCCACATTAGCCTAGAACATCAGAATGTCTAGGACTAGGACTATAAATTTTTCACCAGCTTTTAGGCTGCTCTACCAGCTGGGGTCCTGTTCATGGAGGCCCTTGAATCTAGATCCAAATTGCTCCCTAGGGCCCCACCCTCAGCATCCAAGAGGACAAACAGGGTGCTGGACACTGGTGGGTCTAACTCATTATCTTAAGCAAAAATGTACTCAGAGTCCTAACTTCCTGTGCACATAATAATTCACTGTTATCTACCTCTCAGGTTGCAATGGGGATCCTGTCCCAATTTCCACACCATCTGTCTCTAGAGTCACACTCATTGTGACCACACACCACTAGCAAAGACTGTAGGTGGCAGCTCACCAAAGCCTGAGGGCATACATCTGCACTGGGAAGGCAGAAATCTGACTGGAGCATGAGCACATGGCAAGCACCCCAGGATCAGGGCAGCACAACATTAGAGAGCAGCTGCTGAAGCCATCATGAAGGAGTATTCAGGGTGGCACAGACCCTGTAGCCCAGGCACCCAGGAGCACGGAAGTGTCTAGAATTCAGGTAGTGGTTCCCTATGCTATCAGCTTCACAGCTGGGCTTTTCTACTGCTCATCTTGAGCTTCTCACAAGCTCATCTTGGGCATGTCCCTCCTACAAGTACCACAGAGCCACGAGTATTCTCTGATGTCTAAAAACACCCACTGTGATGACCCACCTTGCATGAAGCACATGGACTGGAGAGCTGAGCATGTAGGAACGTTTTGCTCATCAATACACTTTAAGAGGATAAAGGCTGTCAGCCTAACAAGGGCCTAAACACTTTAAAAATATTGTCAATGTGTGGGTGAACAGAGCACTCTCATCATTAATTCTAATCTTTCTCTACTCTCTGGGAGCTGAGACAAGCCTCAGGAAAGGGGAACACAGGCTCCCTCTGCCAATTTATGAAGGAGAAAGGGGAAACTTATGAAATTGACACATATATACAAAACAGTTTGAGAAAGGACAGCTGGCATTCAACTGAATGCATTTAACAGTCAAAGAGCCAGTGTACCTGTGGCAAGAATTACTCTGCTGTAGAGGCAGGGCCAGAGGCCTGGGCGGGCTGGGCTTGTAGGGTACAGATGCCACCTCACCTTTCTTCCCAAGGCACAATGCTGGCAGAAGGGCTGGCTTAATCAGGAATTGAGATTCTGGGCCCAGGGGCAAGATATGCAGTCATAAGATGGACAGATGGATGGGCCTGGATAACTGCCCTAGTTCTGACTCTAGCTTATGAACCAATTGGATGATTATGTGATGACTTCTCAAAATGCTAACATTCTTAGCAATAAAGTGACCAGACTGGAAGAGTACATTACCAACCTCACTCACAGAAATATGGTAAACTGATAAAAGAGACTTCCCAGCCTGGGTTGACTTGCTATGCAGCAACACTAGGGAGGGACAGCAGGCATGCATTGGGTGCCAGGCTTGGGGCAACAGTCAGCGCACTTAAGTAACAAGAGCTTTCTGCTGAGAAAGGGGTGACTCCAGTGTGCTTTGGGCAGATTTCAGGGCTTACTGGGTTGAGTCAGACCCCAGGTCAGATTCTCAAAACTTGGAAGTGCAGAGGGATGTGCTCCCTAGCAAGCAAGCTGAGACACAGTCCTGGCTTCCAGGGACTCTGACAGAGGTAGGAGAGCAGGAGAGTCCATGGCCAGCCTCTAAACTAAGTGGTCTGATAACCTCATGTTGGGCCCCCCACCACGACCACTTTATTTCCTTAGTGACAGCAACATTATAGCAACACATTGTTCTACTATTGTTGTGTGCTGTGTTGAGTCAGAACTGACCCACAACTGACCTTCCAGCATGTTTTCAGAGACAGTAAATCCCATGGGTTATCTCCTGATAACCCATCCTTCTCCCACATAGCAGTTGGTGGATCTAAACTACGTGCCTTTGGGATTGAAGGTGCAGCTTACCATGAGGGCATGAGAGCTCCCTTGACTAGTTTGACTAGTGAGGAATGTAACTCATATGCTTATTCTCTAAAAATGCATATCCCGCCCCCAGGTGTGGCTCCCCTCCAGAGTTGACCCAGTGCAAGGATACCTAGTAATTCCCAGAAAAACTGTACATAGGAAGGGGTACCCCTCTATATATCCCAGATTTGTGTCCCACAAGAATGGCCTTTGTAGGGGTTAAGGTGATTGAGAAGTAATCAACAAAGGTAGGCTCAACTGCTGGTATTTAAAACAAGGTTTAACAAATTATATAGCAAGATGGAAAAAACATTGGTGAAAAAAGCTACTCTGATTATGATGCTATAAAACAACTGGGCATTGCCAAGAAGCTGTACTGCAATCCCAGAGGTGCGTGGTTTGAATCCACCAGATGCTCTGCTGCAGAAGGAGGGACAATCTCCTCCTGCACCAGTCAGATCTGATTTGATGGTACACAAGTAATAAAATTAAAAAAACCACAAAAAAACAACTGGGCATATTAAAAATATTGAACATTTTAACTAAAGACTATAAAATTCTGATCAAAAGGGGGGAAATGCACATCAGAATTTCAAATTTTCATGGAATCTAGATTTTTCTAGAGCCATGGAAAGAAGATGAATGCCCAAAATTACTGCTTTGAGATAATCTTTAAACGATCCCCTGAAAATAAAAAACAAGCAAGTAAGAGTATAGCTTAACTAGTTGTTCTTGCTATGTATAATCTAGTCAGAAGTGACTCATAGCTGATTCTCTAATGGGTTTTCAGAAGTTGTAAATTACACAGGAAGAGACTGCCCATCTTTCTCCAGAGAGGTACCTGGTGGATTCCAATTGCCTGCCTTTGTACTGGTAGCACACCTCCTTACCTACTAGGTCACCAGAGCACTCTAGCTTAACTAGCAGAAAATGTTTTCTATAACGCTCTTAAATTGAAGTCATACTGACTATATCATAAGAGACTGACAGCAGCATGATATGGTCAGAATCAGAGAAATCCTGATTGTTTGAAACTTAGGACATCACATCAGGGGCTAGTCAATGGGAGATGGGGGTTGAATGTTGTAAGCAAAAGTAGGAAGTGTTGGTGGTGGAGTAGGGAAAGGGTGGATTTTAAAAACAAAACAACAAACAAAAAAAAAACAAACCCCAAAACCAACCAAACATGTAGCCGGGTGGGCAGCAACATTGAATATTGTTTTTTCTAACTGGTAAATGTCTTTCATCTACTATTTTCTGTAAAATGCTTGTCTGTCAGATACTATTATATATATTTAAAAATTGAGACAGACTAGGAAGAAGGATTGGCCATCCACTTCTGAAATTCCAGGCCTTTGAAAACCCTATGTACAATAGAGCACACTTAGATTATCATTTGGACTAACAGACATGGCAATTGAAACTGAGATCTTAGAAATGGAAACACGGAGAAAGAGAAACAGCTGTAAGGAGACACTAGTGATTGAAACGTGGAATGTGATAAGCATGAATGTAGGAAAATTGGACATTTTCAAGAAAGAAATGGAAGGCATAAATATTGACATTGTAGGTATTGGCGAAATGAGATGGCTTGGCATGGGATATTTTGAACCAGATGATTATATGATTTACTATGCTGGAGATGAAAAGGTGAGGAAAAAAATGGAGTTGGTTTCATAATTAAAAAAATCATTTCTAGATCTATCCTGAAATACAATGTGATGAGCGACAGGATAATATCCATACGCATACAAGGCAGTCCAGTGAATACCACTATCATTCAAATATATGCACCAACAGCTAGAGCCAAAGAAGAGGAAACAGAAGATTTTTACCAACTTTTGCAGTCAGAAATGGATCAAACATGCAATCAATATGCATTAATATTAATGGGCGACTGTAAAGCAAAAGTTGTGAACAGGAAAGAAGGATCAGTAGCTAGAAAACAAGGGCTCGGTGAGAGAAATGAGGCGGGAGATAGAATGATAAGAGTTCTGCACATTCAATGAATTATTCATTGCAAATACCTCTTATAAGAAAGATAAACGCAGGCTATACACATGGATCTCACCTGATGGTATGCATAGGAATCAAATTGATTACATTTGTGGAAAGACTCGCTGGAGAAGCTCAAATCAGCAGTGAAAACCAAGCCGGGTGGCTGATTGTGGAACAGACCACCAACTACTCATATGCAAATTCAAACTGAAGTTGAGGAAAATTAATTCAAGTCCACGGGACCCAAGATTTGACCTTAAGTCTGTCCCACGTGAATTTCAAAACCATCTCAGGAACAGGTTTGAGGCCTTGAGCACCAATGAGCATAGACCAAATGAGCTCTGGGAAGGTATCAAGAAAATCGTCCATGAAGATGCAAAAGATCATTACAAAGGCTAAAGAAGAAGAAAAGACCAAGAAAGATGTCAGATGAGACTCTGAGTATTGCATTAGAGCGCCAAGAAGCCAAAGCTAAAGGAAGAAATCCAGAAATCAAAGAGCTGAATAGAAAATTTCAAAGGCAGCTTGGGCTGACAAAGCAAGAAACTATAATGAAATGTGCAGAGCGCTGGAGTCAGAAAATCAAAAGGGCTGGACTCGCTCAGCATTTCTTAAGCTGAAGGAGTTGAAAAACAAATTCAAGCCACAGGTGGCAATATTTAAAGGATAGTTTGGGGTAGAATGTTGAATGATCCAGGATGTATAAAAAGAAGATGGAAGGAGTACACAGTCACTGTAGCAGAAGGAATTGGCTGACACAGAGGAATTTCATGAAATAACATATGAGCAAGAACCTATGATGATGAAGGAAGTTCAAGTTGCTATGAAGGAATTGGCAAAAACCAAGGCTCCAGGAGTTGACAGCATACCAATTGATTTATTTCGACAAACAGATACTGCCCTGGATGTGCTCACTAAAAGCTGTGCCAGGAAATCTGGAGGACAGCCAGCTGGTCCACTGACTGAAAGAGATCGGTATTTGTTCCCATTCCAAAGAAAGAAGACCCAACACTGTGGAAATTATCGAACAGTATCATTAATATCACATGCCAGCAAGATTCTTCTGAAAATTATCCAAAAACGTTTGGAACAATATGTCAACAGAAAACTGCCAGATGTTCAGGCTGGATTTAGAAGAGGTCGCAGTACTAGGGATATCATAGCTAATGTAAGATGGATCTTGGCAGAAAGCAGAGAATACCAGAAGAATGTCTGTGTTTCATTGACTATGCAAAGGCTTTTGACTGTGTGGATCACAACAAGTTATGGCTGACTCTGAGAAGAATGGGAATCCCAGAACATCTGATCGTGTTAATATGAAACCTATACTTGGACCAAGAGGCAGTCGTCAGAACAGAGCAGGAAGACACTGGATGGTTCAAAATCAAGAAGGGGGTCCGTCAGGAATGTTATTTTGTCTCCATACTTTTTCAATCTGTATGCAGAACAGATCATCTGAGATGCTGGGCTGTATGAGGAGGAATGTGGCATCAGGATTGGTGGAAGAGTCATCAACAACCTGTGTTAAGCAACCCTGCTTGCTGAAACTGAGGAGGACCTAAAGCGCTTGCTGCAGAAGGTCAAGGACTGCAGTCTTCAATGTAGACTGAAGCGCAACATCAAGAAAACAAAGATTCTCACCACTGGGCCAACTGGCAGCATAGGATGGATGGTGAAGAGATTGAGATAGTTAAGTTTTAGTTTACTTGGCTCCATAGTCAACACTCTTGGAAAGTCAGCTGTGAGGGACCTCTCAAGAGTACTGAAATGCAACGATGTCAGACTGAAGACTAAGGTGCACCTGATCCAGGCTACAGTCTTTGCAATTACGTGCTATGCATTGGAGAGTTGGACAGTGAATAGGGATGACAGAATGAGAATTGATGCCTTTGAGTTGTGGTGCTGGAGAAGAGTGTTGAATATACCATGGACTGCTAGGAGAACAAACAGGTTTGTCCCAGAGAGGGTGAAGCCAGAATGCTCCTTGGAGTCAAGGATTCTGAAGCATCATCTGACATACTTTGGGCATGCTGCAAGGAGGGACTGGTCCTTGGAGAGGGACATCATGTTTGGGAGAGTGGAGAGATGGCGCAAGAGAGGAAGACCCCTGATGAGATGGATCGATTCTGTGAGTGGAGTGGTGGGAATGAATGTGTTTGAGACAGTGAGGTTGGCACAGGATAGAGAGGCATTTAGGGCTCTTGTACATAGGGTCGCTATGAGTCGCAAATGACTCGATGGCACATAACAACAACATAATGCTCTTAAAAGAACAATGTGCTCTTTTAAGATCTATATAGGATCAAATTGACAAGAGCAACTCAAAAGAAGAGACAGTTGGAACTCTGGTGGCCTAGTGGCAAGAAGCTACACTGCAATCCCAAAGGCACACAGTTCGAATCCACCAGATACTCCACTGGAGTAAGAGGGGCAATTCCTCCTGTGCCAGTCCAATCTAATTTGACACTATACACATACACAACATTAATAAAATAAAAATTAAAAAAAAAAAGAAAGAAAGAAAAGAGAGAGACAGCTTAGCAGAGGTGAGTGTCTTTAATGGGAAGGAAATAAGGTTGAGCATCTTTGGAAATTCAAAAACTGTAAACAGGGTTACTGAATAGTATGTGTAAAAAACCAAGGAATCATATGTAGAAAAAAACAACAACAAGAGTTGGTGTAAATTTTGGTACAACAAAAAGAAAAAATCATTAAGAGAAAAATGAAGACATACAAAAAATTTTTTTTAAATTTTATTTTATTATTATTATTTTGTGCATGTACCGTCAAATCAGATCTGACTGGTACAGGAGGAAATTGTCCCTCCTTCTCCGGCAGAGCATCTGGTGGATTTGAACCGTGTAACTCTGGATTTGCAGTACAGCTTCTTGCCACCAGGCCACCAGAGCTCCCCTAAAAATTTTTATTTTATTATTTTGTGTGTTTACCATCAAATCAGATCTGAGTGGTACAGGAGGAGATTGTTTCTCCTTCTCCAGCAGAGCATCTGGTGGATTCGAACTGCACACCTCTGGGATTACAGTGCAGCTTCTTGCCACTAGGCCACCAGAGCACCCTATAAAAATTTTTTTGATATGGAAATGTTAAGGTAATGAGTGATGCAGCTTCCTCTTTTTGTTTCCTAAATGTCAAAGAATGCAGTAGGACTGCATTTACTAGAAAAGCACAGCTCTCTAAGGTCAAAGATGCCCCTATTTTTGCACTTTAGTTTCCCTCAGTTGCTTTCCTGGGGAGCCTCTGAGAGGTGAGAATTCTTTCCATGGGGCCACAAGTCTGTGCAGAGTAGCATCCCAACAAGAGAGTGTATCAATTAAGGGCAGAAATGTCCACCCAGAACATACCACAGTGTCCAAAGCCTGAGGCCTCCACTTGCTCTTAGGTTTACTGTGGACCTCCACCACAGTTGCCAAAGGATCCTAGAAAGCCAGGAAGAGAGAAAACCACACTGAGCTGCAAGTACAATACTGCTGACTTCCCAATACTCATCCTCCTGGAATGGAAGACACTAGCCACCACCTGAGCTTGTACTGAGGGTCTGATACAGGCATTTGGCCAACAGGCTGTAGGAGCTGTGCCATTATTTTTTACTTCTGCCACATGGCTTGCTGGGAACATGCAAATCGATTATGTGGACTACTGATGAGGGGTTCAGAAATCTTGCCATCCTGCCAGGTTTAGCAGCAGACAACAGGAATCTTGCTACTATCAAGAAAGAAACAGAAAATAGCACACAGCCTTTGGGGCCAAGACAGGCTGAGATTGAGACATTACAGCAGTAGTGAACGGAGATCATCACAAGACAGCTAACTTGGGCTAAGCCATGGAGCCAGAGCTGGAGGGAAGTCCTCTGTCTGATCATGCCAGAGGATGAGGGAGAAAGGGGAGAGACACTGGACAAAACTGTCAGGATGAAGAAAGCTTTTTAACACTGGCCTGAAGCAGAGAAACTGAAGGTTAAAGGGCTTGTGAGCACGTTTGAGAAGCCGCCCTGAAGACATGTATCATGTTCTCACCATGAACATGATAAAAACATCAATAAAGCCCACAATCATTCTGTGAAAAAAATTCTTAACCTCCATACACAGTAAATATAGGACAAAACAAGCTGTATGGTTCTCTGCAGTCATCGCAGTGGATTAGTAAACCTGAGAGTACAGCATACTAAAGGTACGGAGGTGTGGGTTGGGGGTGTGCTGGGTGGTAAGACTGGTTGAAGTAGATGTGTGAGGGTGGGGGCTTAACCCTTTATGTATTGCAGATGTTGTGGATGGGAACTGTGTTTTCTCTGGTGGAATTAACAGGAGAACTACTCTCATACTGGCCACTCTTATACCACCTTCATAGCACAAGGATTAAATAACATGTAACATAAAATGTGCCTGCCACAGCAGACACTCAATAATCATTAGTCCCCTTTAGTAAGTCAGTAATACACCTGCTATAAGGGTCACAGCACATGTTTCAGCACCAATGTGCAGGCCTTGGAGTGAACCAGACATGTCATTTCTTATTGATGGGGGAGGCATCATGTGGTAGGCAGTCTGAGGGTGAAGGAAGGTGAAGCCTGGGCTATTAGCCAGTAACCCTGAGAGGATGTGATTCTTGACATGTGCTATTACCATAATCCAAACATTCTCTTGTCTTTCCTCCTTCCAAAGTTGTTCTTTTTCCTTAAGAAAGTCCTCACTGTAGGAAATAGACTTAAGTGCTCACTTGTGATTTGTTGATTATCTCATGTGCCCTCTCTTCTATTATGTCTACAGTACCTAAGACAGTGCTTGGAAGATCATAACCAGTTTAAAAAAAAAAAAAAAAAAAGGCAAACGTGCCTCATCGGACATATGGAGGGCTAGGCTGGATGCGAATTGACACGTTTTCTGGTATAAAGCCTAGGATGTGGGTCCTGGCAAAGCAGAAAGAGACTACAGTGAAACAGTTTCCACATTGTCGACTTTATCTAAGTTCTGCACTGTGAGTGGACTATTTTCTCTCATGCTTTCCATGGAGTTTTAATTATAATGGTTCTCAAGAAAGGGAGAGCTGGGAAGTGTATAAAAGGTTTTTTCGGAGCTCATGAAGGCTTTTTTTTTAAAAAAAAATTCTTACCTCCATACACAGCTGATATAGGACAAGACAAGCTGTATGGTTAAATAGACGATGCCTTTTCCAGTTGAATTCTACAAGGCCATCCTTGTGCACATGAGTTACTGTATTGGAAAAGACAGCAAGAAAAGTAGTTGACTCAGATGTTCTGATTAAAGCCCAGGGACATGAAACAGAAATTTCTTGACAAATAAGGAAACCAGCTAAGGATTCAGAGTATCATAAGGAGAAAGATGAAGGGCAGTAAGACTAGACATCACTATTTAACTAGGGACTGCCTGTCTTTCTTCAGCAGAGCAGCTGGTAGATTTGAACCACCTGCCTTTGGCTTGGCAATGCAACTCTTACCAAGAGGCCATCAGAGCTCTCTTGTTCTTTCGGCAGTCATGTATTCTCAGTATTCTCTGTCAATATGACAATTCAAAGGCATTTCTGATCTAGTGGTTCTAAGCCAAAAACAGCCACCAATTACCTTTAATTCTGTGGAAGGTTTCTGGCACAAAGGCCTGAATGGCTTTGAATCTCTCTACCACGAAGCCTAGTGTTGGGAACTGGCAGCTGCCATAGCTGATAAGCTGTTCTGCGAGCACCTCAGGGAAAATCTTCTGTAGTCTCAAAGTCTGGAACCTAGTGAAGGCAGCGCCTGGAGAGTGGACAGGCAAGGAAGGAAATATAATCAGCTGCAGACTCTATAACCACCACAGCTGAGCCCAGTACCAGCAGGGCTTTTTTGGTGTGACCCTCACCAATCCGCAGATCCAGCTCCTGCCTGACGTCTACAGCATCGCTCACTCTCTGGTTGGGCTCTGTCAGGTTCTCACAGGCCGCCCTGATGGCTTGTGGGGTGATCTCAGAGAAACGGGCTCTCAGCACGGGCAGACTAGGCTTCACTGCAAAACAGAACAAGGTGAGCATGAAGATACCCTGCCTTATTCAAACAGGAGAAGACCCCCTTTTCTTCTACCATAATGAGTGAGAGAAGTTCATTTCATTGACAAGGTTAAATCCATGGTACATGGTCTAGGAGGGAAAAATAGTTGTGCCCTCTAAACTCAATGCTGTCAGAACAGTAGAGTGAATTTCGGTCCTAAAAATTCAGCTCCTTACACTTTACATTCAGAATGTAAACAGAAGAAGCAATAATATTACCCTGAAAAATCAAAGTATACTGATCCAGATCATGGAATTTTCAATTGCCTCGAAAAACTGGAGAATGAATAAGGAAGACCAAAGACTAACATATCTGAGTTATGGTGCTGGTGAAGAATATTGAATGTATCGTGGACTGCCAGAAAACAAACAAAACCACCTTGGAAGAAGTACATGCCAGAATGCTCCTTACAATCACAGATGGTAAGACTGTCTTACCTATGCTGGACAGCCAATCAAAAAGTAGTCCCTAGAGAAGAGCATCACATTTGGTAGAGGATCAGTGAAAAAGAGAAAGATTCTCAGTAAGACTGACTGACACAATGGCTTCCAGAAGAGGCTCAAATGTATCACAGGATCAGACAGTGTTTTCTTCTGCTGAACACAGGTAGCTAAGAGTCAGAAGTAACTCTACAGCACATAACAGCATGCACAAATAAACAGTCCCTGGGTGGTGCAAATGGTTAAACTAACCAAAATGCAGATGGTCTTTTTACACTTGGGACTGTCACAAAGGCAGGCCGGCCAATCTGCTTCCATAAAGTCAAAGCACTCTATGAAGCAGTTCCACTCTAGCACATGGACATGCGTTTGGTTGAAGATACATACATATGTACAAGCTTATTTATGTATGCTTTTGTCAGGTGCCATCAGTAGCAACTCTGAGTGAAAGGGAATCAAACCTCACCTGGTCCTGGCATCCTCACAACCACTGCCATGCCGGAGCCCACTGCTGCAATTGTTGTGTCAAGTCATCTTGTTGTGGGCCTTTCTTTTGTGCCTCCTGCTGACTTTCTAGGCATGATGTCTATACAAACACACACATTCTGCCTCTTTTCTTATTTGAAGAATGTATAATGATAAGAAGCTCTGGTGGCCCACTGGTTAAGAGCCATGCCACCAACCTGAAGGCATGAGGTTTGAATCCCAGCTGCTCCACGGGAGGAAGATAGGCAATCAACTCCTATGTGATTTACTGTCTCTAAATACCCACTGAAGGTCAATTGTGGAAGTGGTACTTGACAGTACGCAACAAAAACAAAAACCATAAATTAAAAGAACATGAAGTTCAATCTTCAATTTACTCCATGCTTGTTAACTTGTGTAATCCTCATCTCAGGTGGAGGAAGAAAGGCAGACTGGGCTAGTAAATGACAGAGTTGGCCTTGTACATTTGATCTACTCCAGAGCCCCAGTCTTCCCACCTTTAGATTCAGAGAGCAACTCAGAAGGGGAAAAGGACGAACTTGACAATGGCTGTGTACAAGAAAAGATCCAAAAGGAAACAATTTAGAAATGACATCACCTACCGGCCTTGCATACGTGGATAATCTCAAATCCAATATTTTCCCCTTCTCTATCACAATCAGTCCAAATTACCAGAGCCTGACACTGCTGCACTTCTCGTTCCAGGGTTTTCTGAAATGCATGGAGGGCAAACAGTAGTGAGCACATCACTGTAGAGCACCTATAATGTTACTCTCTAAAGACTCTGATTGAATGTGGATGGTGCTCTTGATATAGCAACCTGAATGAAAAATATTGACAAAGAAAACAGTTCCTGTTGGCTGCAATGACAGGAAAGTCACCAGTGCACCTTTCCTGTTTAGAAGACCGAGTACTTAGTAAAACACCCCAGGTACACTAAACTCTCCTCTAACAAACATTTATAACCCCTCAATGTATACTTATAACTCTCCCTTACACACACTTACAACTGGCCTCTAACACTTATAACCCCATCCCCAGACACAAAACTGTAATTTTCCAAGGACCGCTAATAACTCACTCATAACTAACACTCACTCACAGCATACCCTTAACAAATTAAAAACTCATCTCTAATATACATTTATAACTCTCCTGGCTCTGATTAAGTACTAGTTAAAAAGAAAAATTTAAAAAGAAACAAAATGTTTGTCTACTCAATCACAAATTCAACCCAAACTTTCCACTAGCAGTGAGCTATGTATGGAGAGTTCTGGAGAACAGCACAGTTGGTTCTCAAACACTGGCACCCCTTCATTCAAATAAAATGGAAATTAGTAATAAGTAATATTTAAGAGGGCAGATCAATCCGGAAGGCTCAAGATTTGAGGCCACCAGCTGCTCTGCGGGAGAAAGATGCGCCATCTCCTCCCACGTAATAAACTGCCTCTGTAAACTCACTGTTATGGGTCAGCAATGACTATACATTAGTACACTACTACCACCACCACCACCACCACCACAACAACAACAATTTAAGAAGCCCAGGTGGTGTAGAATGTAATATAACATGACATGTTAGGTTGTAAATGGAAAGGCTGACAGTTTGAATCCAGTAGATGCTCCATAGGAGAAATATGGCCAGCCTCCCTCAAAGATTTACCACCTCAGAAACCCAACTGAGTGCTGCTAGGAGTCAGAATCAGCTTTACAACAGTAGATTTGTAGTGTTTGAATATTTATTTTCTTAAACAACTACTATTCACAAAGAGGTTAAACTTCAGTCCTTTGGCCATTTAGTTTTAATGGTCTAAGTTATACACCATGTGAGAATCATATTTTAAATCACGCCACTTAATTTGTTAGAAAACCTTATTTCTATATACTATTGTGTTAATAAAAATAGAGAAAGAACTCAGACTATTTAGTGGTTGTTCCAACTCCAATACTATATGTGATCCAAAATATCCTACCTTGATGTCTAAAAAATTCTCTGGGCAATACTTTTCAATTTCTGCTTCAAAGAGGACAAGAGGGTTACAGCTTTGCCTAAAAAGGAAATGAAAACACAAGAGTTATACAATCTACACACACACTCTTGGTGCCCCCCCCCCCATTAGTTCATGATGGCTTGGTCAGTTCATGGACGGCTCTCTCACAGAAACAGCCCAAGGTGAAACCTCCAATTAAAATTAAAAAAAGACTTTGTCCTGAGGTACCAAAGGATTCAAAGACTATCCTTCAAAAAGGTTAAATACAATGCAAGCAGGTAGGCAGAACAGTGTTTCCCCCTGCCCCCCATTCTATCCTAGTAGGTGCTGAAACCACACACATTCTGGTGAACAGTCTTGTCAATCAATTTTCCAGAGCATGTGTAGAAACAAAATTCACAGCAGACCTGCTCTGAATAGAATAACTACAGTGAAAGAAGGATCTGAACTAGAGGACTGCTGTAGCATACATACCTCATCCCACACGTGTTGTCTTTTAACCCAGAGGCCCTGCAGCAAATGCAATCTGGAAGGACTTGATGTGTATGCATTTAATTATTGTGAACCTATTTCTTAGAATTCCTGACATACCTTTATGAAAAAGCATAAATCCGCTACCTATTTTGTTGTTGTTACATGCTATCAAGTCAGAAACAACTCACAGCTGACCCTCTAGTAGGTTTACAGAGGCAGTAAATTGCACAGGAAGAGAGAACCCACCTTCCTGTAGCAGAGCAGCTGGTAAATTAGAACAATGTGCTTTTGGGCTCACGGTGCAGCTCCTCCTGCCCACCTAGACAACTTTAAACCCTGCAGTGTTTCCTGCTTGGAGGCTTGTGATGTAGGCTCTCTACCTTACTATTATACAGCTTTTTTTGTGAAGCTTTTCTTTCCTCTTTTAATAGCTAACTCTGCTTGTGAGAAAAAAAATTCTAGTCTCCCACTTGGTCATTCTTGATAATGGGAGAAAAATTCCTGTGCTTCAGTAAGTCTTCTCAGCAACAGGCCCTTTTTATACTTCCCACTTTCTACTTCCACAGTTCCATTTTCTACTTTACCATGGAAATGAAAGGAACTGCCAAGCAGGAACTGCCAAGCAGGAATCCTGGAAATTCTTCATGCTTATCTGTTAGAGGATATACGTTTTCAATCAAGGACTGCATGGAAAGGTCTACCTGTTTTGGGAGGACACTGAAAAGTGTCATCTTCTTCTTCTGGTAAGTTACACAGATGAATCACTACGTCTCAAAATTTCTATAGTATTTAGCATTTACAACATTAATTGGAAACGTCTTCTCCCAGGAATTAATACTAACCATTTGCGAAACGGTATGTGGAAATCATGAGTCAGCAAATGTCCAGAAACAGAAGTCATTACCATGGTAACATTCTGAATTTAAAAAAAAAAGAAAATTGGAATTATCCTTTTAGCAACTATATTTTGCATATTCATTGAAATAAAAGGGAGGAAAGTCTATAAAAAACAAAGAAAACTGCAAACCAAAGAGTTACAAAACAAAAACCCTAGTGTACTAGTGAGCTGGGTCTGACTCATAGCTGACCCGCTAGTGAGTCTCTGAAGGCTCTAAATCAGATGGAGACTGACCATTTTCTTCTTACGGAGCAACTAGTAGATTTAAACCATGTTTCTTTGTGTTGGCAGTGTAGCCCTGTACAACCAGGCCACTAAAGCTTCCTGGATTGGGAATAAATAAGCATAAATATATGAAGCCAAAAGTTATCATCATCCTAGTATAAATGCTCTTTTTTTAAAAAAAAAAAGGGGACCATTTTAAATGCCCTGGTGGCACAGTGTCAGGCTGCTAACAAAAAAGTTGTCTGAATCAATGAGCTGCTCCAAGGAAGATAAGATATCCCCTCCCACAAAAACTCAAGAGTTAGGGAGAGGGCTGAAAGGGGAGAAAAGTGCAACAATGAATGAATGGAAATCCAAAGTCTCTGTAAACTTTCACGGAAATTAATAATAATAAAAAAAAAATAACAGGCGAGCTCTGGTGGCCTAGTGGCAAAAAGGTGTACTGCAATCCCAGAGGTACACGGTTCAAATCCACTAGATGCTCTGCTGGAGAAGAGGAACAATCTCCTCCTGTACCAGTCAGATCTGATTTGACAGTACACACACACTCACTAATAATTTAAAAAAAAACCCCAAAAAACCCTCAGAGTTATCATGAGTTGAAAACAACTCCAAGGGGGTATGTTTGACATAAGTAGTATATATTAGCAATTACAGAATTTTCTTCTTGTTATAAAGAGTTGAGAAAGGACTATATTTTATTAAGGAGAGAGTTCCTTATCAATTATCAAGGAGGTCTGGTGGTAAAGTTACAGTATTTGGCTGTTAATCAAAAGATCTGAACCAATGAGCAACTGCAGAGAAGAAGTAGCAGTTGGCTTCCATCAAGGCTTCCTGGAAACCCTAAGGGGCGCAGAGGCATAGTCCGTAGTATGTTGTGCTGCTAATCAGCACATTTTCAGCAGTTCAAATCCACCAGCTGCGCTTCAGGAAAAAGCTGGGCAGTCTCTTCCCATTAAGATTATAAACTACAGACTAGAGAAAACTGATAGTCTCTAAAAGTTGGGATTGCTTTGATGTAAATAGGTATAGTAAAAAGGGGTCATTTTTAATTCACCTGAATAACCAAGGCATGTGCACTAAAGAGCATATAGATATGAAAGTGTACATCAACTATATGACAGAAATACGCTAGCACCTACCTGGCCATACAGATGATAATCAAATTCATAGATCTTGTTGAATTTGGAAAGTCCTTCTCTCTAAAAAATTAAAAAAAAAAAATGAAATCTATAAATTTATAATCACAATTTTAGTTTGTTGTTGTTGTTGTTATGTGCCGTTGAGTCTTTTGCGACTCATAGCGACCCTATGCACAACAGCCCTAAACCATGCTCTATCCTGTGCCAACCGAACTGCCTCTGACACACCCATCCCGATTACCCCAGTCACCGAATCAATCCATCTCATAGAGGGTCTTCCCCTCCTGCACTGTCCCTCCACCCT